TGTATCATCTACGTCATCGTCGTCGTCGTGGTCGTCGTCCTTCATCGTGTCTCCGCTCCGCCCCGCCCATCCGGGGGGTAGCAACTCCTGGACAGGACAGGAAGTGACGTCAGGAACAGCTCGACGCTATCATGGTGACGTCAGAGCTCGCGGGTAGGCTAGGACCAGTCCGGATCGTCTGCAGAGAAGTTCCCCCCCATGACGTAACGGCGAGCTGCGACGGTGTGTTCTGACGTTGTGACTCCAGTACGACGACGTCAGAGGCTAGAATATGACGTCACTGGGTAGAATATGACGTCACTGGGTAGAATATGACGTCAATTGGTAGAATATGACGTCACTTGGTAGAATATGACGTCAATTGGTAGAATATGACGTCACATGGTAGAATATGACGTCACTGGCTACATACAGTATGGCGTCACTGGCTACATTATTATTAGTATTTTTACATCACCATATTATAGCTCGTCATCTCATCAGATATCAGTAAAAATTATTTGTCATTATAACGATCTTTTTTCATAAGACGAGAAATCAATATTATCAAAGTGTGAGAATCAAAATTTTTTGAAGAGAGATGACGATAATAAAGACAAAAGTTACAACGACAATGCAGTTGGTAAGCGCACACTGACGGGGAGCTGGAAGGGGGGTGGGGCACAAATTATTATAGGCGCAGTCGTTACCATAATTAGCATCTTTCATTATCATTCACCTTTTCGTCTGTATGTATGTGCGTGTGTTTGGGAGTGATAAACCAAGACACAGCAGCGAGGAAATACCGGTGTGTTTTTGCGAGTGTGTTGTGCTCACACAGACACACACACACACACAAACAAACACACAAACAGACAAACAAACAAACACACACACACAATTGACGGGGGTTTGGTTTAGTCTCACGCTGCAGGTTATGGCAAGAAGCTGAGGTATCCTTTGGTCTCCCTGGTCCGGCCGCTCCAGATAGAGGTGTCGTGTCGCTCGTCTGACGTCATCGGCCGCTGACGTCACTCCCCTGCCTTGCTGAAGCATCTGGGGAGGAGAAACGTCATAGGCTGAAACGGTGTCTTTTGACGGTGATTTTCTGTTTATTCGATTAATTCCTTCATTTATTTATTTATTGATTTTTGTTTGATTTATTCATTTTTGTTTACTTTGTTTATTTTACTTACTTAATTAATTAATTAACTTTTTCTTTCTTTATTCATTTGCATATTCATTTATTTGTTTATGTATTTGCGTACTTATGTAAATTTATGTATCTATTTATTATTTTTGGCTACAGGACAGTCAGTCCGACTGAGCAAAACTGGACCCCAGACAATCTGGACCTCAATCCTCTGGGCTTTCACCATTGGGGATGTTTGAAGTACAAGATTCGTGGAGAAAACCTCGGAAAGAATCCAAGACTTGAGAGAAACCATCATGGAGAGCACAAGAAGAGAGAATTCTCCCGAGCAGTGGCAAACGAGGCAGGGGTATGCTCAGAGCAACTTAGATAGGGAACCTAATCCAAATGGGTAACACGGAAAGATCAGGGAAACGTAGCCTTTTAAAGAGCATTCGAGCAAAGGAATGAACAGAGAACCATGATCCGCGATGTCTGCCGCAGATCTGGAATTTAATGATGAGTGTCAACGGTTGATTTTCAATTTCACCCAGCGTGACAGAATGTGCTTTACTCGAAATTGGGGGTATCTGGAAGAAACCTTGTAACTTGTTTTGAGGCAGTCATATTCTATTGGTATAAAGACATAGCAAATCCGGATGCATGTTCCACTTTTCTGTCAACTATGGTGTTTACAACTTAATTCATGACGGTTTTACCGCGTTTTTTCGGACAAACTTTTTTCTGGTCATTTGGTATGTGTGTGCGCTAAGCGTGCGCGCGCGCGCGCGCGTGTGTGTGTGTGTGTGTGTGTGTGTGTGTGTGTGTGAGAGAGAGAGAGAGAGAGAGAGAGAGAGAGAGAGAGAGAGAGAGAGAGAGAAGAGTAAACCACCTACCATCAAGGCGAGGAGAGAAATCCCTCGCGGAAGGGCGTGTAGTTGGGTATCGTGTGAGGGTACTTGACTTGCCAGACCGTGTGTGTGTGTGTGCGTGTGCGTGTGTGTGCGTGAGTGTGTGTGTGTGTGTGTGTGTGTGTGTGTGTGTGTGTGTGTGTGTGTGTGTGACAGAGACACAAACAACAGTAAAAAACCACCTACCATCAAGGCGAGGAGAGGAATCCCTCTCGGAAGGGTGTGTAGTTGGGTATCGTGTGCGGGTACTTGACGTGCCAGACTGTATGGAACATGAACTCGATCTTATCCTGGCAGTGAGTGCCACAGCTCGGGCAGCGGAACGGGTGGTCCTCGTACGGCATGTGCAGCGACTCGTGCAGGTGGAACATGGTGTAGTCGTAGAAGAAGATGTTGCAGTGTTGGCAATGGTGGATCCCGCCGCTGTCGGCCGGGGGCGTGCCGGACGTGGTGGTGACGTCACGCTTGCCCGGCTCCGACTCGGATTCGGCCCCGACGGAAGTGGGCGTCTTGGGCGGCGGCATGTTCATCCCCGACAGGCCGAGCCCGCCCATATCTTTGTCCGCCGCGCTAGAGGACGCGGTGCTTGACGCGCGCGACGGCGGAGAGTTGGAGGATTTGTTGATGCTCAGGTCCATCACCGAGTCGCATGGGTACCCAACAGTGGCGGAGGAGGTAGACGATGACGAGGCGGTGGAGGTTTTCCCAACCCCGACCCCCAGCAGACGGCCGTCCTCGAGGGCGGAGACTGATAGCGCGCGCGCGGCAGAAGGAACGTGGCTTCCTCCTCCGATGCCGCCGCCTCCCAGCGCGTTGACCAGCCCGCCGGCGGCCGCGGCGTGGTGATGAAGCTGCGCGTAGGCGGAGGCGTGGTCTGGGGGCGTGCCCGTGTAGGCATGGTGGCGGTAGTTGTCCGCCGAGCTGGCTCGCTGCTCGTGTGGGAGGTGGGAGGGTGGCCCGCGGGACTGCGGCGTGCTGCGCTGAGGATCTCTCTCGTCTCCGCGCTCCTGATCGTCGTAATCCCTGACGCCGCCGCCGGCGGTCACGGCATCTTCCCGCGACATAGAGCGCTCCGCCAGCTCGCCCCGCTCCAGATCCCTGCTGTAATCCCGAACACAATTGTCCTCGCCTCGGTGCCTCGCCTCCTCATCGTCCATCTCTCTATCCCGACTATGATCCAGGTCCTTCTCTCTCTCCCCGTGGGGTGAAAGGTCAGGGGGCGTGCCCCGGAGGCCGCCGTTGCTGCTGATGCTGTTCCCTCCTCCGTTACTGCTCCCTCCGCTGCCACTGATTCCGTTGTTATTATTGTTGTTGTTACTGTTACTGTTGTTATTATTATTATTACTACTACTATTATTATTGTTGTTGTTGTGCTGTAGTTGGTGATGGTGCAGCTGCATCATTTCCTGAGTGAGCCTGAGACTGTGGTGAGGTAGAGCGGAGTGGGCGTCGCCCATAGGGTGGTGGGGGCGTGGCCCGGCGTGGAGGTGCCGCCCCGCCAGAGACATGGCCTGGAGACCCTCCAGGGAGCGCTGCATGGGCCGGAAGCTGCTGAACGAGGGCAGGGTGGCCGGTGCACGGCTGTGAGGTA